AGCCAATTCTAAATTCTGCAACGATTATTGAATGTTTAAGTATCTTTGTATCACACTTCGGAATTCCATATTCAATCGTAAGCGATAGTGGTACAGAATTTAAAAGCGAATTACTACAGGAATTTTGCAAATTACATAAAATCAGAATCCATTTTACGACACCCCAAAATTCAAACAGTAACAGTCCGGTGGAACGATTTCATTCATCCCTCTTAGAAAACTGTAGAGTTTTAAAATTGCAACACCCTAATATGCATATAAAACAAATTGTACAGTTCGGTGTCATAGGTTACAATTCCTCGATACATAGCGTGACTGGACATCGACCATATGTCATTATTATAGGCAATACAAAAGCTCTTGACCCATTTGACTTAACAGACGAATATCTCATTAACGAATATATAAACGAAAGAAAAATTCGACTAAAAACACTTTATCAGCATATATTCGACAAAACGGTACAACAAAAAGAAAAGGTCATCGGAAATCGCAACGAAACTCGCGAAAATCCAACGGTATATACTGAAGGACAAGAAATATTTGTAAAAAATAGAGAAGCTACCAGAAATAAATCAAAGCCTCGTTTCGTAAAACATTCAGTAAACAAAGACCTTGGAAATAAAATATTAATAACAAAAAACAGAACCATTCACAAATCAAAGGTCAAAAAACCATATGCTAATATTAGACTTTCTTTACAGAACGATCGAAATGTGGACGATAATACCCCTGATCCTCAGCCTTCCACTTCCGGTTGTAATAAAAAGTAGCGATGTAGAAATATTAGAATTAAATACCCCTTTATTACCCTTAGATATAGGAAAAACAAAATTAATACAAACAAAACATACATTTTTTCATTACATTGAAACGGACTTATTAGTAACTCAATTGCGAAATATAGAACGTTTTTACGATAAGTTAGAATTCTCGTTAAATTTTACAAAGTTTGAAGATGTGGGACTTGTAATAAATTTGTTCGAACACGCAAAATATTTGCTAAATACTACAAGATTAAAATTAAATAATTTTGTAACTTTCGAAAATAAAAATAATAATATTAGAAATAAAAGAGGCTTATTTGACGGAATCGAAACAGCTAGTAAATGGCTTTTTAGCACTCTAGACCATGAAGACGAAATTAAATATAACACTCAAATCCAAAACTTAATTAAAAATCAAAACTCATTTTCACATCAATTACAACTACAATCCTCTCTCAACACCCAGCTCATTAACCATTATAATCAGACAATAAATAACCTTAACAAAAACCAGTTACTGTTACAAGAAAGACTTAATGATATTTGCAACAAATCAAAAAATTTTACCGATCAAATGTTCATGTATATCCGGTTACTCAATGCTCTGGATCAAATAATTTTGAATTGCCAAAATTTAATAAATTTCGTAGATAACTTGGAAAATGCTATTATATTTGCCCATTTAGGTAGCTTACACACTTCAATAATTCCTTTAAAACAATTGACAAATTTGATAGAACATGTTTCAATAATTCACGGCGAAACAAAAGTCATTAAATTTAAAAATCCATACAATTATTTCCAATTAGCAGGAATACAAGTAAAATTCGAAAAATCAAAAATAATATTTGCTATTCACATTCCTATTTTAATTAACAGCCATTTCTTGACCTATCACATTATTCCTTTGCCCTATGAAAATTCCATAATCCTAACACCCAGTCCCTTCCTCGTACTCAGTACCGAACTCCATCAATATGAAGATAAACCTTGCCCACAAATCGAGGGAATCTTTTTCTGCGAACACCATGAAGATGTCACAAACGACACCTGTGCCATAGCCCTGATTCGAGCCGAAAAATCAGTCTGCAAAGTCGAAAAAATAGTTCTATATCAACCCATAATAGAACAAATCAACAATAAATTCCTACTAGTACTACCTACCAAAATTCCCGTAAAAGTCTGGATAAACTGCGAAAGAAAGAAAATAGCCATAATCAACGTCAATACAATTATCAAAATTCCCAAGGGATGCAGTATTAAAATAGAAAATTCCCTATATGAAAACACAGAAGAAAATGCAATTGGAAACCCTCTAATATTGCCAAAAATGGAATGGAGTCCATCAAAATCAAATTCAATTTACCAAAACCTTCCTCTGAAATTACATTCAATAAACTTCAAAGCCATCCAAGAACTACAGAATCCACCCCATAATTTGGAATGTGCCCAGCCTAACGATAGTAATTGCCTTGGTATCTACTATTATCTACGTATGGTACCGAAAGAAGAAATCCAAAAATCACCAAAATCTCTCGGAAGAAAACCACCAACCCGAAAACAACCCCATATCAGTATTGTTTTCGCCTAAGGAGGGAGGAGTTATATAAGAAGAAACGTCGAGTCTATTAAAATATAAAACCGTAAACGGCGCAAACTGTTAACTTTGCATTTATTATTATCATTAAAATTATATTATAAAAATTAATTCCAGTTTAGATTGTTATAGAATAAAGTCATAAATAAAGTCTCTAATCTTCGAAAAGTAAATTTTTGTTTTTTTAAAAAATTATTTTCGAGTTAAATAAATTTAACTCTATATTGTTTGAACCTAAAAATAGTAAGTTCGTGTAAAAAAATATATAAAAAAATACGTGTGACACTAAGGGACTGCCGCGGTAAAGCTATTGCATAGCATTTTTTATCAACTTATGCAATTATAATTATTCATTTATTTTATTTATGCAGTATTTTTTTTCTTTGATATTAATTCAAGTTTTTTCTTTGATATTAATTCAAGTTACACTTTTTGAGCGTGGTGACCGATAATAAAACAATTTTTTTTCTTTTATTGAATAAATGAGAAGTTAATATTGTTTAAAATATTTTTATCATTGAAACTACAGGTTTATAGTAACTGAAATAAAAAACATAAGTTTGAGACTTTCCTCTAAATATCTGGAAAATACCGCGTCAATGATGGTCCCATATTTTGTTGTTGATTCTTGTGGATCATTATTCATTTTTAAATTAAATTTTTCCGAAATTGTGTCTAAAAGAGATAGAATCAGTTATGAGCAGTTAGCAGCTAGTCTACACGCATACGTCTAGTCGCACGCACACAAACACCGTGCCGAAGTCTGCCGAACTGAAACGACGTTAGACGATGCACGGCTTTCAATGCCACACCGCTGTGCCAGTCGGAGTGGGGGCTGTTTGGTTTATTTTCGTTACGGAATTTCTTTTTCGATTTTTCGATTCTTGTATTGCATAAACGTTCCAGTTCGCAGACGTATATTTAACTCCGCTTCATACTAATACGAATAGGGTCGGATAAAACCTTCCACGGCTTTCAAGTTAAAAGTTTCAACGCCGCACCGCTGTGCCGGTCGGAGTGGGGGGTGTTAGGTTTATTTTCATTACGGTGTTACGGAATTTCTTGATTCGGTCGCCGCGCTCAAAGTCCGCGATAAAAGCTATGCAATAGCTTAAAATCTCTTTTTGCACCGTCTCGTATGTTATTTTAAGTCATTGACAATGTCAAACGTTTGTTTAAAACCCCTAATATATGGGTTAAAGTTTCAAATTTTACGCAGGAAGAATATTTAAAGAACGCACCATATTTGATAATTGTCCGTGCTTCCATGCCATCTATAATAATAGTTATTTATTTTACAAGGGAAACAAGTATTAGATTGTGGTTGTTTTATCTATCACCACAATGTATTAAAATCAAGTTTTTAACTGGTGCATTCTGTCAAAAGAGATAAAAATGTCCCGTCACAGAAAAAGAAAAAAATAATTTTAAACCGGCCGCACTAATTTGTTCGTGTTCGTTATAGATCGGAATTCCGATACAAACCGATAACAAACGCTTGGTGGGGGTTTAAATAACTCGGCACGAGAGCAGAAAGAAAAAAGTCTGATCCCACAGCTGCCATATCTCAGATGTTACAACGATTTGTAAGCAATTGTTAAAGAATATATTTATTAGGTGAATACGGTACTATTGATGAAATGCTGGTTCCATTTAGAGGACGTTGCAAATTTCGGGTTTACACGCCAAATAAGCCCAATAAATATGGCCTAAAAGAACTTGCTTTAACAGATGCTCCAACCAGTTATTTCTACAATGCATATATTTATTGTGGTAAAGGGTCTGATGGCACAGGTTTGTCTGAAGAATAAAGATAGCTTACAATACCCACCCAATTTGTAGTTCGATTAGTATCACCTATTATAAACAGTAACAGAAATATCACTGCAAACAATTGGTTTGCTTTGATTGAACTTATAAACGAACTGTTAAACAGACAACTGACATATGTTGGCATCCTAAAGAAAAACAAAAAAGAAGTTCCTGAAGCATTTTTACCTAATAGCCGTAGAAAAGAGGGTCAGCATTATATGGGTTCACGAACAATATAACATTGCTAAGTTATGTTCCCAAGAAAAACAAATCAGTTCTACTGGTATCAAGCATGCATTACTCAAAAGAAATAAATGATAAAAAAACAAATAAACCAGAAATGGTTACGTTTTATAACCATACGAAAGGAGGTGTAGACTCCATGGATCAGAAGTGTGCCAATTACTCAGCTAATAGAAGGACTCGACGCTGGCCGCTATCGATATGTTACATGATGGTAAACATATCAATAGCAAATACACATATCTTATATGTATGCTTTAAAGACGTACCAAATACAAAGCAGTTCCAGTACGGTGCAACATAATGATGACATAAAAAGTGACAGACTTGATAAGAAAAGGAAATGCAGTGTGTGTCCTTACACAAAAAATAGAAATACCGCTTACAAATGCATTCAGTGTCAAAAGCCAATTTGCTTACAGTGTTCAAGAGCAATTTGTGAATTATGTTGTAAGAAAAACTGACTAACTTTTTATTTTTCGCATTTTACTTACTTTATTTTGTTTGCTGTTGATTGCATTGCATTTAAACAACCACTTAAAAAATTAAACATTCTATATACTTTTAAATATTTATATAACTTAAAGTCTACCTTTTTGTTCATTTAGAAAGGAAGAACATGACTGCTCCCGAGCCTCAAACCCCTTAACATATGATGTCTTGTTGGGTACATTCAAAACATTTTTCTTTTCTTTGTTAGAAAATTCTGACATTAGTTCAGAAATCTGTTGTAATAGGTCATCTAGTTCAGTCATCTGAATTTCCATGCCTGACCTACAAAAAGTCAAATTTAGTTTTGTTAGGTTCAGTATAAGTTCTGAGGTGACAAACACAAACACAAACTCACATAAATATATATAAAAATACACCTACCTGCACTACTTTTCAGAAAAACAACACAAATTTTTAGTATTAGGTATATTTAGAGGAAAAATAAATGAACCTCAACATAAATCTTGAAAAACAAATAGGTAGGTAAGTATCTTTGCTCGTTAACTTGTCGCACTCACCAGTTGCAAAAGATGAAGAAAAATATAAAAAGTTAGGCTGTGGTTTATTCAACTCATTAATTCTTATTTCTTAAGGCGTAATCATCATGGAAATACAGTAATTACACCACTATCGTTAGTTAGAAAAGTTGTCTCCATGGTGATTAGGCACTAAGAAATAATAATTAAGACGTCGGATAAACCTGGCCTTAGTCAATAGTAATATCCAAAGAAAAAATCAAGTAAATACTAACAAATGTTGGTTTTCTAAAGTTTTCCGTGAATTAATAACGTGCAGCAATTTAAATGTATATTTTAGAATAAAATAACAAATTTTTTAACATTTTGTGCTAAATATTCAGAAAACAAATAATAAATAAGTTGGATAAACTCAGCCTTTATCAAGCCCTTTGTTAATTTTCTACTCATGTAAGGTGACAACTTACCTTCCTTTCATCAAATTGTATTTAGCCAACCATTTTTTTACCAAATTCTGAATTCTTTCCCGGATAGTTCTAATATTAATGCACTTTCCTATTATTTGTATTAAATTAACTTGAATGGTGGCCCATCTTCTTGAATCTTCAAATGGATTTAGGCCATTTACTTCGCGAGCTAGATGAATATCAAATTCTTCCGTAAAACGGAAACGGCTGCTACCTTTAGTTTTAACACTAGCCATTTTAAACAAACTGATATATTTTTAAAATCATTCAAATTAAAATTAAACACTCGTAACAACATCAAATCTACACTTTTTGAGGTCATTAAGATAAGATAACCAAAAATCAAGGTCGAAAAACAACTGTCGACTGTCACAAAAGTGTCTTTCGGCTCCTTTTCGGCTCAATTAGTTGACTAACGTTATGCCCCGTAAGAACCTTTCGTGAAACTCCGTGAGATACTGCATTTCTAACAGGCACGCCACGCAAAGAATTGTGAAATGCGCATGCCCAATTCCTCATACGTACGTAGAAGTATACGTTTGTGTCCGCACTGAAACTTCCTATTACTCACGTTCAGGCCTCGCAACGAAATCGAGACAGGCGTAACAAAAAGGCTACAAAAAATGAGCTGGTACTGCTACAAATATCCGCTAAGCTAGCGGATCCGCGGTTTTCTCAGGTTCAGTACAAGCTACAAAAGGAAGACTGGCGTAGCAAAAAAGTTAGGAAAAACCAGCTGGGTCTGAATCTGTGCCGCTACTATGGAAATTCAAGCTAGCGGATTGTTTGTTTTTTCGGACCTGGGTTAAGCTACAAATTCGCAAATAGCGTAACAAAAAAGCTACAAAAACCCACCAGGTCTTGTATGGTGCCGCCACAGAGTGCCCGCTAGCTTGATATAGCCGATTATGAACGAGAGATTACTAATCATCAAGAAAGCGAGATTTTGTCGCCTCGGCCTGCTGCAACAAACTCTTCTTTTTGTCCTGAGACTCCTATATCAAACAATGACTTCGACCTTGATGAACATTTTGATCTAGGTGCTGGGGAAATGCAAATATTAATTCTGAATGTTTATGTGGTGATTGTGATCTTAATCAAGCCGATAGTTGGGACAATGATTTGATTAGGGATTTGAGAAAGTGGGCAGTTCAGTACCATATACCTTTAAGCCATACAACAAAACATCTTTAGGTTTTAAATAAAAATAAAATAAATATACCACTTGACGCTAGGACATTACTAAAAACACCGAGAGTAGTTGAAATACAACTTAGTTCAGGGGAATATTGTCACATTGGTATTAAAAAGTCAGTTTTAAAATGTTTAGATTCGCTTCCATTAAATTCAAAAATTCCTAAAAATATTAATATTGACGGCTTGCCATTGAGTAAAAGTTCAGGTAGTCAGTTTTGGCCAATTTTGGGTTATTTTACTCCTCATACATTTGATAATTTATTTTTTAAATCTTTTGTTATCGGTCTTCACCATGGACAAAACAAACCCAATTCTTTTAATGAATGTTAGCTGTTCAAAATCGTGATATAATTTTTAAAGATAAAATTATTAAGTTAGAAATGAATGCGTTAATTTGTGATGCTCCAGCTAGAGCATCTGTAACTTATACTAAGGGTCATAATGGGTATCATTGGTGTGTAAAATGCATTCAAGAGGGCAGTTTAATAAATAATAGAATGGAATTTTTGGAACTAAATAGTACATTAAGAACAGATGAGTCATTTAAAAATAAGTTTGATAAAGATCACCACACAGGAACCTCTATATTGGAGCAACTAGAATTTAGTATGGTTTCTCAAGTACACCTTGATTACATGCATCTTGTCTGCCTAGGTGTCATGAAGCGGCTTCTTCAATTCTGGCACAAAGGAAGACAAGATGTTCGGATTCCAAATATAAGATTCGAGAATTTGTGTCAGTTATTACTTTCAATTAAAACTTTGATACCAAATGTCTTCTGTCGAAAGCCCCGTAGCCTTTCAGATGTTGATAGGTTTAAAGCAACCGAATTTCGTCAAATTTTACTTTATAAAGGCATGATCAGTTTAAAAAAATTTCTTCCTGACAATATGTACCACCACTTTTTACTGCTAACTTGTTCCATTAGGATTTTAACATCACCAAGTTTATGTACAAAATTAAATGAAACTGCACAGGGGTTAATTGAACATTTTATAACTGAATATAGTGAAATTTATGGAGAACACCTTATCACTTTTAATGTATATAATTTATCTCACTTATGTAATGATGTACAGAAGTTCGGTTGCCTTGGCCATTTTAGTGCTTTCCCAGCAGAATCCTTTATGCAATGTATAAAACAAAAAATATGTCTTTATTCTGGTAAATCCTTACAACAACTTGTAAAAAGACCCGAGGAGGAAACAATCAGATGCGAGAAATATAATTATGTTACTATTAAAAGTAATGAGAATGAGACAGTAAGTCTTAATGAAATTAAATTTAAAGGTTTTTTTTATTACCAATAACTCACCAAATAATTTGTGTTTATTGCAAAATGGTAAATATGTTCAATTTCTGAAATAAATAAAATAAATAACAAAATTTCATTTAAAGGCAAGCAACTGAATTCACTTGGTCCTTTTTTTAACCAAACTATAGATTCTAGAAGACTAGTAATTTTCTTAGATGTTTTCGTTGATGATATTTCTATAGTAACTAATATTTCAGATGTAGTATCTAAAGCATTGTGTTTACCATTGGAATAAAAATGGCAATAGTTCATCAAAATGAGACCTTGCACTAATTCTATATTTTAATATCTTCAACATTTTTAATACTTTTAGAAGGATTTAAATTTAAACAGATTTTTGTACTTTCTTATCAATTAATATTACAATAGTTTATCTACTTAATAATTTGTTAATATTTTTTGGTCACTGTGGCGACATCATAGCACCACATAGTCTTACCTTTAGTTTTGACTTTTACGTCAATTTATTTTAAGGTTTCTTAGTCAGTTTTTATTTGAGGTTGGTCAAGTGTCAATGTCAGATGGTACCATTATCTCAAAGAAATTAACCAAATCGCAATTAAACTATAGTGTTTTCGATAAAGAATTATATGCAATCTACCTTTCAATCAAACATTTTAGATATATGTTAGAATCAAAAGATTTTAAAGTTTTCTGTGATCATAAACCAATTGAAAAAGCAATTTTTTCCAAAACAGATAGACCTCCTAGACAATTCAGATATATAGAATATATTTTACAATTTACTAATAAAGTTTTTTACGTAGGTAGCAAAAACGTAATAGTCGCAGATTTTTTAAGTAGAATGGAATTATATTTTATTTCAGTAGAAAAAATAGAATCGGAATTAGATTTAAAAATAATAGGAGACGAACAAAAATTAGATTTAGAATTAAAAGGTTTATTAGAGTCACAAAATCAAAATAAAAATAAAAACAAATTTCATTTACAAAAAGTTCAAGTTAATTTCCCACCAGCAGATATATGGTGTGAAAATACTAATAATACTTTAAAACCTTACATTCCCAAGTCACAACGTTATAATATTTTTATTAAAGTACATAACGTGGCGCACACAGGAGGTAAGAGCACTTGATAAAAAATAGATATTTTTGGCCAAGAATGAGCAAAGATATACACTTATGGTCAAAATCTTGCATAAATTGTCAAAAGGCAAAAATTTCTAAATATACAAAATCACCAACAGGTGAATTTTCAATCCCAAAAGGTAGGTTCCAATACATCCATATAGATATTGTTGGACCCCTTAAACCTTCAGGAGGTTGCTCCTACCTATTAACACTTATAGACAGATATACGAGATGGGTAGAAGTTTATCCTTTAGCAACAATTACTACAGAAGTAATTATAAAAACAATTAATAATAATATAGCTCGTTTTGGTGTACCTTATAGCGTCACACACGACCAAGGTAGCCAATTCGAGTCACATTTATTTAAAGAATTTAGCCGAAAATTAGGTTTTAAAAATTTACACACTACTAGTTATCATCCAGAATCAAACGAAATGATAGAACGATTCCATAGAACATTAAAAGAATCTCTTATGGCCAAACTGCATAACAATAATTGGAAAGATGAACTACCATTGATTTTATTAGGTTTGAGAAGTGCAGTAAAGGAAGATTTGAATTGTTCTTCCGCTGAACTAGTCTATGGACAATCCTTAAGATTACCAGGAGATTTTTTTGTAGACAGTAGTGAAAGTTTTGATACTGATTCATTCTTAATTAAATTACAAGAACATTTCGATAATATAAAACCCACTAAAATATATAGACACGGTACAAAGAAATTTTTCATTTCACCAGATATACGAGATGGGTAGAAGTTTATCCTTTAGAAACAATTACTACAGAAGTAATTATAAAAACATTAATTAATAATTATATAGCTCGTTTTGGTGTACCTTATAGCGTCACACACGACCAAGGTAGCCAATTCGAGTCACATTTATTAAAAGAATTTAGCCGAAAATTAGGTTTTAAAAATTTACACACTACTAGTTATCATCCAGAATTAAACGGAATGATAGAACGATTCTATAGAACATTAAAACCATCTCTTATGGCCAAACTGCATAACAATAATTGGAAAGATGAACTACCATTGATTTTATTAGGTTTGAGAAGTGCAGTAAAGGAAGATTTGAATTGTTCTTCCGCTGAACTAGTCTAAGGACAATCCTTAAGATTACCAGGAGATTTTTTTGTAGACAGTAGTGAAAGTTTTGATACTGATTCATTCTTAATTAAATTACAAGAACATTTCGATAATATAAAACCCACTAAAATATATAGACACGGTACAAAGAAATTTTTCATTTCACCAGATTTGATGGAAAATGATTTCGTTTTTGTTAAAGTTCAAGGTATCAAACCTTCATTAACTCCTCCTTTTGAAGGACCGTACAAAGTCATTAGTAGAAATGATAAAGTTTTTAAGATTTTAATTAATGGCAAAGAATCATTAATTAACATAGATAGGTTGAAGCCAGCCTTTTTATTAACAGAACAAGATGTTCAAAGTGTTTTTTCAAAACCGAAGAAAAAGGTTTCTTTTGTTTTAAACCCAATAAGTTATAACTAAACCATTATTTTTATATGGGTGGTTTCGTTTTCTTTTTTTGAGCAGGGAGGTTATGTGGCGACATCATAGCACCACATAGTCTTACCTTCAGTTTTGACTTTTACGTCAATTTATTTTAAGGTTTCTTAGTCAGTTTTTATTTGAGGTTGGTCAAGTGTCAATGTCAGATGGTACCATTATAATATCACATATATTATGATCTTGGTCGATAGCTGGGTACACTAGCACCCTACTTATCCGATGGATGGTAACCATGGAAAAAGAAAACAAAAAGATTGATTGATTACTGATTTCGAAAAGAACAAGACAAGACGTACCTTTGACAACATTTTTTATATAACGCTTTTTTATAATTTAAAATAAAATTATTTTATTTACTGAAATTCTGATTCCCTGCTATCTACAGTCACCATCAGTGTTTGTCACTTAGTATTATTTTCAATCATATTTTACAATATTTAGTGTGCAAAGTAAAACTCGTAGTTACTTTTTCCTTGTTTCACAATGAAGCAAGTATTTCTGTATGTTATATTTTAAAACTATTTTTAGTAATATTAGTTTTTGTGAGGGTCCCATTACATTATGTCATTATTATTCAATAAATATGTGCTGTCTCTCATCTGATTGCAAAAAGTGGCTAGTCGTGTTTTTTAATTGCTATTTGTAGTTAGGTACAGGGGCGAGAGGGTCAACAACATATACTATGTCCCCGTGGTGGAAGCTGTTGCGTAATCTCTCAAATTCAAAATAATATTTCTTATCGATGGATTTTTTAGTTTTTTGCTGACAATGAAATAATTTGCTTCTAGTAATCTATAACAATAGAAAATCCCTTTGTAATCATTTTTTGTCGTTAGGTTATGCTACTTTTGGTGTAAATGTAGGAATTTCCCTACATCAGTAGAAGCAAATTATTTCATTGTAAGTAAAAAAAACAAAAATTCCATCGATAAAAAACATTATTTTGAATTTGACAGTATCTTTCCACCACCGGTACATAGTACACTGTTGTTCCCATGTGCTTAACTACAATTGCAAGCAAAAAACAGGATATGCGACTTTTTGTGGTCAGATGAGGGACTATAATATTTTTACACTTGAGACATTTCCAGGAATTAATTATGATATGTATAGAGTGTTGGATAAATAGCTGTTAGCAGCTGTAGCTCAGAATATCCAGGAAGAGATAAAAAAAAACCCAAGAACAGGTTAATTTTTATTTCAAGGGGGACAACTTTATCCTCAATTTGTTTTATATCATCTCTCTCCGCCGTCACTTTAACATATACAATTTAAATAGAGAAACTACCAAGCATGACACATCATCAAAAAGGTAATTTTAAGAGAAATTGTAACGGTTGGAACCGTTTTCGTTATTTAGACCCAAACATTGTAACGGTTGGAACCGTTTTCGTTATTTTGACGCAAAACATCTCTACTCTAATGTCATTTGTCGTTCATGCCTTGCGTCAAAAGTTGATTTTCATTTCGATTGTCAACGAAGCATGTTGATTTAAATTTTTAATTATCTTGGAAATCCGATGTACTAATTGTCTTTTAATATTCTTAATGGCCGTCTGATTTTATTTATTTTAAGGTAAGCTTTTATACCGATATATTGTTGAAAATATATATTTTGTACAAGAATTTCTAATAAAAATGTCAAATTTCAAACATAACCTCAACATGAAAAACACAAGGATCACATGTTTTATATAATTTTATGTATTATTTTGTTAGGAAAGAGATACTATTGTAATAATTGGCATTATTATTTTTAAAATATAAAGAATTTAACAAAAATACCAAAAATATCTAATATTTTTAATATCTATTAAATTAACATATTTATTAAAACCAAACAATTAGAAATAGTTCATTGTACTAGTAAATTAAAGGACAAATCGTGCAAATAATCATTAAAAATAAATAAGTCGAGTTTCTTGTAAAATAATCACGTTAAGGTTGATATAAATAGAGAGTCAATCGCTGACACAAGAGACTCAAGGGGCGGCCGTTGGGCCAAACCTATGCCCAAAAATGTAACTTAGTAATTATTAGTATTTATTATATACAGTGAGCATCATAAGTCTTACCCCCCCTAACTAACTCGTTACTGGAGTCTTGTTAGGAAAATCGCCGAGACAGGTCGATTTTTGTTTTCTACAATGTACATTTTTGTATGATAAGTTTACCCTTAATTTCATCCCTTACTGGACGGGAACAACCCTTTCGAAAAATTTAAATGCCATGGGGTGGTGAGTGATAGCTCATTTGAAAGGGGGTTTTATTCTCTATTCAACCGTGCAAAAAAATTTTAAATTTGCTTCATTACGTGTTGATTTATTAATGTTTAAAAATAACAAAACCTCACAAAATAGGAAAGCAACTTAACTAATAGTGACCTTCTAATGGCAAAAAGTCTTACTTCACGTCTGAACCAAAACCGAAATCATGCAGGGCCGAATTTTAATTCTAACGATGAGTGCGCTATGTTAATTTCCGTTATTCTGAAACAACAATTAGTCGAGAATTAATTAAGCAAATTTCAAAATTTTTTACATGGTTGAATAGAGAATAAAACCCTCTTTCAAATGAGATAGCACTCACCACCCCATGCTATTTAAATTTTTCGAAAGGGTTGCTCCCCTGCAGTAAGGGATGAAATTAAGGGTAAACTATTCATACAAAAATGTACATTGTAAAAATCAAAAATCGACGTGTCTCGGCGATTTTCCTAACAAGACTCCAGTAACGAGTTAGATAGGGGGTAAGACTTATGGTGCTCACCGTATTAGTTTTAAGGGTTTTATCATATAAAGAGTTTTTTATTATATTAAAAAGTTTTTGTGATGTAAAAGGTTTCATTATATTAAAGTTTTATCATAGATTATATTCTATTAACATGGTTTATCATAATAAAGATTTACGATTGTGGATAGTAATTTTTGCTTGTCTTATTTCAAAAATAAAGATTGATTTGATTTATTAAAATTGTTAATCATTTTTTACTTATATTTAAATATACATGTTATTGTTTATTAACCTATTTTATTCTCACCTCTTTCCAAAAACCAGTAAGAAATATTCCGAGCATGTTAAGCCTCGGCGTTCCTATCCTTAAGAACTTAAGTCTTAAGTCAGTTGCCAAAACCACTCGACATATGCTATTAAGGGATGTTTTTTTGTCTTTTTATTTTCTTTTATTATTTTATTTTGCCACTGGCGAATGGATGTTCCTTCAGGACTCCAGGACCCTTTGGCTGGTGACAACGCTGCCCTAATCCCTTAATAGTATAATGACAACAGTAGCTACAGACCTATCAGTAGTTGCAAATGGTCTTTAGGCATGCCGGTTGTTAAACTATGCTTTACTATATTTATATATGTTAAATAAGATTTTTCCTTTTCATATTAATTTTGGTCTCTGTGAAACTATTCACTTAATAGTTTAAATTTTCAATTATTAGTTAAAAGCATTTTATCTGGTTCCTATATAACTCCTAGTTCCTTTCTTGATATTTTTACCTTTTCCTTGTAGCCTGGCTATATCTAGACGGTATAGAAGTTAAGAGGTATAGAAGTTATAGAAGTATACAAGTATAGGAGTATACAAGTATAGAAATTTAGAAGTTTAGTTCAAGCTGTATCGAAGAAGTACATTTCGAAGTCATATCTTAGAAGTTTAATTCAAGTATATCTACACTGTTTATGGTGATTTCTATCACGAGGTGTGAATAAATCATCTAAATTTGAATAAGTAAGTCTCTGTGAATTAGAATTTGTTGCTACCTTTTCTAAAACTTTATTTAATTATAATATCTTAATGGTTAGTGATTTTCTATATTTTTATCAGTAATCAACAGTCAAGTTTAGTAAGTTTTAAATATAGTGGCGCTCAACATTCTTTTTTAAAGTAATACGAGTTATTTAATAACCTGACCCACTCCCCAAAATCATAAGAGCTTAAAACACTATAAAAAATAGATAAAATAACAAGCAATATGAATGATCATTACGTTACTTTTAATTTTACATATTGTGAGGTGTGACACTTCATTTGAAAGCTAATTTTGTTTGTAATCCAATGCACCACATGACATTTTAAATATTTATTTCGATGGCCTAGGCGTAATACCTCGTATCATCAATTTTGACGAAATTGAGGTATTATTGTTTTGATATTAAGTAGAATATTGCGCGCTATCTATTAGAAGCTCAGCTCATTATCTTGCTAAACTAACGCGGCAAATCGGAATATGTAATAAGAGGTATCAACTCGAGTCGGTAACCCAGTGGAAATAGCACGTATCATCAGTGTTTACATTACAAGCAGGGTGGATGGTTTTTGCTCTTGTGATTTTTTGTATTGTCGTAAAAAATAAAGGTAACTTTCTATTTACTTTTTTTGTATAACACATTAGAGTTGTTTCTTTTATTTCTCTTTATAATTATATTTTCTAATATCAAAATAAAAACCAGTTAAATGTATGTTTAAAAGTTCCTTTGTTGATACGAGGTATTACAAATTCACTCAAATTTATGTTAAGTGATATTTCAAAGGGCAATTTCTCAAAAAATTAATACTTTAATTATTATGTATTGTCGCCCTATCTCTGTAATTTTATTATGTTCTACCAAGTAAAATAACACAAATCAAAATTTTAACGAATATTGACGTTCTATATAGCTCCCAAGAACTTTTTACAAAAAAATCTATCGAGTTGCAGTTTTGCAGTATTTTACAATTCCGCAGTACTTTTAAAAAAAATATTGTATGGGAGAAAATTTTGTTGGAGCTCCAATTTTTCAGATATTAACAAAAATAACATTTCAACACAATTATTTACCATTTTAGACCGCGATGAACTAAGAAAACTAAGGAATATATTTTTACCATTTTATTGACCTAATTAAAACATTTATTTTTAGTCTTCCACTATGACATCCAGGGGCAAGCGATTGGTTCTGCTAGCACAAGAAAACACACAACTTCTTAGAGATGATACAGTTTTAGAAAATTTAAATAACCAAATCTCTTCATCAGATTTATTAAAAGCCACCACGAGTTGCATTACGGAAGAAACAAATAATACAATTAGAGGTAATGACATACTTCAACGTGCACTGCAGAGCAGTTTTCTCTTCGTAAATAAAGAAAATATTGATGATATTTTGCCGCAAGATATTGGTAAAACGACTTATCAGGAGCTACATGTTATGGAGAATGTTCAGTCCTATGTGGTATAAAACAACATAGACATAATTTTTGAAGAGCCTGTTGAAAAAGAAAATTCCAGAACAGAGATTTTCGAAAACAAAGTGATATTTGAAGATATACCTGAAAATGACGATCGACCAAATGAAGGAGATGCCCCGGATTATCCAGACTTCGTACCTAATGAAGAACACTTCAGTTCAGACTCAGAATTTGAAGGAGAAGCATTTAATGAACGGCAAAAAGATGGTCTACCCAACGAACCAGAACTAGAAGAAGAGACAGACAACAATGAAAGCGATATTGAAATGCTTGAAAATAATCAAGAAAAGAAGCGTCGAAGAAAACCAGATAAAGACGAATTGCCTAGAGAAAAAACAAGAATTAGAAGGATGGCTGGAGAAGAGTACATAGGCTATACCAGAAACAGACAAGGCCAAATTTTTCATAATAAGCAAAGAGCAGCTAGAGCAATAGGACCGACTTGTACTTCTTCTAAGTGTTTAAAATATAAGAATAGATTTTGCCGCTCAATATCTGAAGAAGAACGGAACCAAATTTTTTCCAGCTTTTGGAAAAAAATGAACTGGGACCAGAGAAAGATATATGTAGTTGGGCTTATAAAGATGAAATCTACGGAAAGAAAGTATGTTAAAAATTCCAGACGCAGTATAACATACGACTATTTCTTACAATTTGCTGCAGAAAAAAAAACAAGTTTGCAAAAAAATGTTTCTTTCAACACTGGGCGTGAATGAAGCGATGGTTTCCAACTGGTGTAAACAAAATGAAAACGGTATCATCATTCCCGCCACCGATGTTTCCAAAAGAACTAGAAAAGTCTTAAAAGACGCTCCCCGGCCTAAATCAGGAAAGGAGGTCGGACTGGAGGAACAATGAAATTATCTAAAAAATTTTTTTGCAGAACTTCCTAAAATGCCTGCATATTACTGCAGAAAAGATTCTACGAAACAATATATAGAATACGATTTTGAATCAAAGGCCAAGTTGTATAAAATATATCAAGAAAAGTGTCTAGCAGATAAAAATAGGTCTCTAAGTTATTGGTACTTTTCTGAGTTATTTGAGGATCTGAATTTAGCATTGTATACTTCAAAAAAGGATCAGTGCAATACCTGTGTGGCTTATAGAGCAGGAAATATTGAAACAACAGAGTATAATAAACACATTGCCCTTAAAGATCAAGCAAGGCAGGCAAAAGATATAGACAAAGACAAAGCCAAGGAAGGTAAATGTAATGTCTTTGTTATGGATGTGCAAGCAGTGAAAATGTGTCCTGTAAATAACGCTAATAAGTTTTATTTTAAAACCAGATTAAAGGTTCACAATTTTACCATATATAATTTAAAAACCCATGAATGTTGGAACTATTGGTGGAGTGAGGTTCAGGGAGATCTATGTTCCTCTGTGTTTGCCACAATTATTATAAATCATTTAGAGAAATATTGCCAATATGATTTGCCAGTGATATTGTGGAGCGATGGCTGCGACTACCAGAATCGAAATGTAGTACTTTCGAATGCACTGCTGCAATATGCCGTTAAAAACAAAAAAAATTGTAGCACAAAAATATCTGGAACCCGGACATACACAGATGGAATGTGATGCTGTCCATAGTTTAATTGAAAGAAAACTAAAAAGTCGGGAAATTACATTGCCTTATGATTATGTTACTAAAACTCGTGAAGCAAGACAAAAACCGATTACCTTAAATGCAGAAATTTTGACGCATGAAATATTTAAAAATTACGATAATAAAGATCTTATGATGTACAGAAGTATAAAACCTGGACGTTATACAAATGACCCCACCGTGAATAACCTGAGAGAACTGCATTATTCTTCGGAAGGCACCATAGGATATAAGACTGACTTTTCCGATCAAATTCGAGCTTTACCACAAAGATCCAAGGAAATAGATGATTCTAAGTACGTAGTTGAAGGTTTGTTCCAAGATCAACTAAAAATATCTGCCCAAAAATTTTCTCACCTACAGGACATAAAATCTACACTTGCACCAGAGTTTCATGGATTTTACGACTCTTTGCAATTTAAAAAAGACAAATTAGTGTAATATAGTTTTATAAAAGTAGTTGAGTTTCCAAAGTTACCAAATTTTACGTACCTAATTAGATTAAGGTTTAATGTTTGATGTAATTTTTAAAGTATCATTTTTTATTAAAAAATGTACGAAATCCTAGATTTTAAGCAAAAAATTTAAACTAAAAGTGGTTATGTTTTATTTGGACGTTACTTAGACAATGTTTTCTTGTTCCTATAAGTTCTAATAAATATTTTTTGAATTTTGATACAGATTCACAGCATTGAATTTTTATTGCATTTTTGGTTGAATATCACTTATCAACATGTGGTTAAATAGGCAATACCACGTATCAAACCGCATTGCCAGAAAAATGATTCAAAAACATTTTTTTTTAAATTGTTGTGTAAAAAAATTCAATTTTTAGCTAGATATTAAATTGCCTACAGGTGCCTTGTAAAAAGAAAATAATACAGTTTTTTGCCTCTCCTGAAAAGTTGTCAAAATGTTGATACGAGGTATTGCGTCTAGGCCATCGATTTATTATGTCTTTATTTGACAAATGTACAAAGCTACTCTTCCAATTTAAGTGGTAAAACCTATTATGTAATTTAGCAACATTATACTCGTATGAAAAAGATCTTTCAAACATACAAGAATAGTGCTGAGGCATTGTAAGAGTATTATGCCTAATATTTCGATCATGAACTGAATTTCTAAATATCAATTTTTCAAACAGATAAATGGGGGTTTTCGTTCTTAACAATCTATATAAAAAGGTAATAAAGTTCAACTGAAATAAATTTTCAAGTTTTAACCACTTAAGTTGTGTGGAATAGGCAGATATGTGATCAAACTTCCTCAATTTGTAAATAAACCAGTAGCAGCCATTTTGGATACCTTGTAACTGCTTCCTAGGTGCTTGATCTAGACATGAATAATAAATGAGTAAACAATAATTCAAGCGTGATAATACTAAGAATTCGATGAGTTTTTTCCGCATTTTAAAATTGAGAATGTGTTTGTTCACATACAGCAACCGCAATTTTATATAACATGATTGAATCAAATTTTTTATATGACTTTTAAATCTAAGAGACTTGTCAACCATCAAGCCTAAATTTTTGACTTCATTTGATATGTTTAGCTTAACTCCATCTAACTCAAGTTTCAATAAACATTCCGTGTTAATATATTTTATTTTATTACAAATATCTTCATATTGCACTTGCAACAAAATAAAGTTAGTAATAATGCAATCTTTTTTTTTTCGTTTTAAGTTTATATTTTGATTTAGTTAACATAATATTATATAGTAAACAGTCATATTGGCGAATTTCCCATAAAGTTATTTTTGTCTCATACTTCGTACCTTCATTATTTAAATGGTATTGGTTAAAGTGGCGGAGGGAGTGGAATGACATACGACAATTGAGGATATTCTGAGATACGGCCGCTAACAGCCCTTAATCAGATACCTTGTACCACACTCCAGATTTTGACTATGTTGTCTAAAGATTTTTCTCTACTATGACAATTTTCTCAATTATGACATATTTTTCGATTGTGACATGTTCTAAACCGACTTCAAAAAGGAGGAGGTTCTCAGTTCGTCGTAATATTTTTTTTATATGTATGTTCAGGGATAATTCTTTAACACGGTGTCCAATTTCAATAATTTTTTTTTGTTAGAAAGGGGGTACTTGAGGGGTGGTCCCAAATTAGTTTGTTCAAAATCTAATAACTGGGTCAATGAGAAAATTCTTAAACTCTTCATTTTTAATGTATGTTTAGTAGTAATTCTTTACCACCTTGTCCAATTTCTATGATTCTTTTTTTGATAGTAAGGGGGTACCTCAGGGGTGGTCTCATATAAATTCGGTCAAAATATAATAATTGGGTCCATGAGAAAAATCTTTAAACTCTTCATTTTTATGTACGTTTAGCGATAATTCTTTACTACCTCGTCCGATTTCTATGATTCTTTTTTTGTTAGTAAGGGGGTATCTCAGGGGTAGTCTCATATAAATTTGGTTAAGATGTGGTGACGGCATCTGCACGATTTTGAAGTCGGTTTTTTAAAATTACTTTTAATACTTGCTATATATAATAATCCGAGATAAGGGACATAAAGCTAGGAAATGCTCATAAGAAACACATAATCAACGACATGCTCAAATGCAGTGTTACGCAGCACCCTGTAGCGTGCTGCGGTCGTCATAAGTAAAGGTACGAGTAAATAAAGAAGATAGAATAGTCCAGAAATCTCTTGAAATGTCATTCCTTGTCAATGAAAAGTCTGGATTATTTGATAAGGTTCTAGAAGGTCGAGGCAAGCTATATAAGTCGACGACCGACCTGACGTCAGAGTTCAGTTTTATGTTACATGTTAATGTTATCAGTTGTATAATTGTTGTTAAAGTTGAGTTGAAATAAATTGCGAGTTCAACATAATTTTCGGTCCTAAGGCTTTTTAGATATTACAAGCAGCAAATTTTCACTAACCTACAATGGCGGAAACAGCAGTTACAACCGGACCTCCGGACAAATTTAATTTTTCAAGCCCAGCGGGTTGGTCCCATTGGATTAAGCGCTACGAGAGATACATGTCTGTATCTGGTCTTTCAAGCAAGTCTGAGGAGGACAAAATGAATTCATTTTTGTATTTAAGGGGTGAGGAAAGTGAAGACACTCTCATGCAATTTCCCACACAACCAACTACTTTTCAAGCAATGAAAAAAGCTTTTGAGGATCATTTTATACCTCGTAAGAATGTTATTTTCGAAAGGTTTCAATTTAATTCACGGGTTCAACATCCAGGTGAATCGGTAGACGCTTTTATAACTGCATTGCATTTACTGGCAGAAAATTGTGAATTCTCAAATCTAAAAAGCGAACTCATTCGAGACCGAATCGCAGTAGGTATGGCTGACAAAAATACTAGCGAACGTTTACAGTTACAAGGTAAACTTACTTTAGATAAAGCTATTTTAGCTGAAAACAAGCTGAAATGCAGGCTCAGCAGAGCAATATTTTGCGTAATGAAAATCAGTTGAATGCTATTAAACGAGGTAACACATTCTACAAGGCTCGAACAGATACCCCTAAGACATGCCAATATTGTGGTCACTGGGACAAAGTATGCAGAAGTGAAGGTTTTAGTGGTAAAGAAATAAAATCCATTAGTGTGGAACATGAAATTAATATGGACCAAGAACAGTTTTTGGGACAAATAAATATTTTAAATAACTCACCTTGGTTTTTTAATATACAAATTGAAAATTTTAATAAAACTGTTCCATTTTTGATTGATAGTGGGGCAGATATAATTTGTCTTCCAAAAACAGTGTTGCCAAATGTTCCAATTTCTCTTTTACCTTGTAAAGAAATTATATCTGGCCCAGATGGTAAACATTTTAAAGTTTTGGGTACAACAAAACTAATTTTAGGGTATAATAATATCAAACATTCTAGCGTTGTGTATATTATTGAAGATTTAAAAACACCTATATTGGGTCGGCCTGGCATTATAAATCTGAATATTTTACAATTTCCAAGTACTTTGTTGCAATCTAACAACATTAACAATTTGAATAGTAAAATTTCTTTAGTGCATATTCATCAAGAATTTCTTTAGTACATATTCATCAAGAATTTCCTAAACTTTTTGATCAGCTAGGTGAATTTAAACAAGAAATACCGATTAATATTAAACCTGATTCAAAACCATTTTTACAAACAACGCCTCGTATAGTTCCACCCCTTTTACCTAAGCTTGAGGCAGAGTTAAATAGGTTAATTAAACTTGACATTGTTGGACCTGTAGATTATAATACAGAGTGGACTTCTGCTATAGTAGTCGTTCCAAAAGGTGATTCAGTTAGGGTATGTGGGGACTACACAGAACTCAACAAAGCAGTTTTACGGGCACATTTTCCTATCCCTAAAGTTGAAAGTTCTTTAAATAAACTTAGCGGCTCCTTTATTTTCTCAAAATTGGATGCTAATCTCAGTTTTTATCAACTACGTTTGAATAAACTCTCTCAGCCCCTCACTACATTTATCTGTCCTTTGGGTAGATTCCTTTTTAAGCGGTTACCGTTTGGTATCTCATGTGCTCCTGAGTTTTTCTCTTCGAAATTTTCCAAACTTTTTTCTGGTTTACAGGGTGTCATATCGCACATCGATGACATACTTATTCATGCACCCACAGTAGAAGAGCATGACACTATACTACGTGAAGTTCTTACTCGCTTAGAAAAAGAAAGTGTTACTCTTAATGAGTCTAAGTGTCAAAGTGGGGTAAATAAAATACATTTTCTGGGTCATGTGGTTTCAGGATCAGGGGTAGAAATAGATCCATCTCGTGTTCAATCTATACTAGATTTTCCAGCTCCTACTTGTAAAAAAGAAGTCCAGCAACTTCTTGGCATGATTAATTTCGCTTCTTGATTTATTCCCAATAAATCTGAAATTTTAGAGCCAATTTCTAGTTTATTAAAAAACGACGTTAGCTTCCTCTGCGATGTTCCTCAACAAAATGCATTTACAATTATAAAAAAGTTACTTACTAAAACTCCTTGTCTGTCATTTTTTAATTATAATAAGAAAATTATAGTTAGTGCTGATTCTTCATCTTACGGTTTGGGTTGTGCTTTAATGCAGGAACATAATAATCGGAGAGAATTAGTAGCTTATGGGTCTAGAACTTTAACACCTACAGAGATCCGTTATCTAAAATCGAGAAAGAAGCTTTAGCATTAGCTTGGGCTTGTGAGCATTTTCAAGAATATTTGATTGGTATACCTATTATTTTAGAAACAGATCATTAGCCACTGCTTCAAATTCTCCAATCAGAACATCTTGATGAGCTTACCCCAAGGCTTCAAAGATTTAGAATTCGACTTATGCGTTACGATTATAAGGTTATTTACACTCCGGGAAAATATTTAGTAGTAGATGATGCTCTCTCGAGAAACCCCTTAAAAAGTACATCACTTAGTGAAGAATTATCTTCTGAAGTGGAAGCAAAC